AACTTGTGACTGTATTAGCTACCACTAAATATTAGTTGTGGCTTGTGACCTTGTATTCTTTAATACTCCAAAATACGCTATTAGTAAAAGTAATATATATATATATATATATAATAAATTAAAATACTAGTAACTAATAAGAAAAAAAGACATTCTATACTTCCATAAAAGCAAATAAAATTATAGCTTTTTGTGATAATTTTTACTGTTTTTATATTTATGTCAGTTATTTTTAACAACTATTAAGGATATAATAAGTATAGAATCCAAACTAATTTTTAATGTTTGTGCCGGTGAATCTAGGGTTTACATTTTATAACGACGAATCCAAGATAGATTGCAAGCATTCCTAAGCAATCATGTTTGAAGTATTATCATAGGATAAATGTTACGAAAAGGTTAACCCATTCGTACAAGGCCCAAGAAATTCCTATATCAAACGCCCCTTCTTCAGAAGCTGACACCTGGCATCTTGGTGAAGTCGGAACTCCCCCAATATCAGGAGTAACTTCCCTCTCCGGGTTCGAACTCGAGACACCAGGTTCGTAAACAAGGCTCTGATACCATTGTTACGAAAAGGTTAACCCATTCGTACAAGACCCAAGAAATTCCTATATCAATAAATATATGTATCCTTTTCACAAAAATTATTTGATTCGTCATTGTAAAAATTAACCCTAGATTAAACTCCTATTGATTAGATAACACTAATGATAAGATATGAACAATCAACTTATTTCCAATAATATGTAAAAGATAATCAATTTCTTCGAATGATAAAGGGTCAATTTGTATAAATTTAAATATATATATTTAAAGAACTAGTTATTAAAAAATAATTATTTTTAAAAAGTAAATAGAAATTGCTTCTTAAAAAAATATTTAAAAGAATAGTTTAGACAAACAAAAATAAAGTAAAAATTGTTTATTTTTAAAAATAGAAGAAAAATAACTAAGTAGGTCAAAAAGAATTCAAATGTCTTATATTTGTCAATATAGGATAAATTATTTCTCCATCTGCACCATTAAGGTCAACCTAGTGGTGGGGAATTGGAGTAGAATGCAGAGTCTTAGGTTCAAATTTTAATGTCATTGTAATCTTGATGGATAAAAAAAATACATTATTTCTCTATCTTTCACTCAACAGACAAAAAGCATTGAACTTTGAAGTTTTTAAAGGTGACACCCCAAGTCATTGCTTGCAGAGCACAAGGGCTACCATCTCTAAACAAACCCATTTGCTTGAAATTATAAGGTATTTTCTTCTTCATCTACCAAATAACAATTGTTGTACCTTTTTTTATTGAATTTATAGGGTTAGAGCAACTTTTATCAAATATCAAAATCAAGAATAGACAAGTAACTACCAACATTAGTTGGTACTAGTGATAGCGATTTAGGTCTCCTAACCAACATTAGTTATTCAGGGTTTAAATTATACCTAAAGTCTTAGGTTCAAATCTTGGTGTCGTCATTATAATTCCAATGAATAAAAAAAAAATTGTTTCTTCATCTTTCACTTCTTCTTTCTAAACAACACACATAAAGCATTAAACTTTGAAGTTCTTAGAGGTGACACCCCAAGTCATTGGTTTCAAAGCACGAGGACTACCATTTGTGAACAAACTCACTTGCTTGAAACCATAAGGTATTTTCTTCTTTGGCAACCAAATAACAATTAAATATTAAAGTCAAGGATAGGTGAATAGCTACCAACATTAGTTGTTTAGGGCTTAAATTATATGCAGAGTCTTAGGTTTAAACGTTGGTGTCGTCATTGTAATTTCGATGAATAAAAAAATTATTTCTTCATCTTTCACTTTTTCACTCTAAACAACACATAGAAAGTATTTAACTTTGAAGTTCATGGAAGTTGCCATTTGTGAACAAATTCACTTCTTCAGAGCATGAGGACTACCATTTGTGAACAAATTCACTTGCTTGAAACCATAAGGTATTTTCTTCTTTGACTACCAAATTACAATTATTGTACTCATTTTATTGAATTTCTAGGTTATACCAACTTTTATTAAATATTAAAGTCAAGAATAGGTGAACAACTTATAATATTGATTAATACAAGTGATAACGATTTGTATCCCTTACCAAAATTATTGAGAGTTTAAATTATGTTATAGGACAAAAAATAAACTATGTTGAAAAGATAATACATACTTTATATGAATTCACAATCTTAGACTAGGATTATTCATTATTTTTGACAATCAACACTCAGTACCCATACTATGATTATCCCAAAATTGGCAAAATTTGCTTTTTCTTTTACTTTTCTAAACGTTAATGTACTTGTTATAAGAAATTTCTTGTTCGTTTGTTTTCATAAAATCTAATCGATTATGTTTCAATTACTAATTCTTTCTTTATAAAAATATTTTCATATGAAGTATATATATATATATATATATATATATATATCTAAGAGATAACCTAGGTATTTATATCTCCAATGATCAAGGGATAATTTTCGCACCATATCTCTAGAAATCTCGAATCCCATTAAAGATCAAGTTATCAAGAACAATATATCTACACAATCACTAAAACGTATCTATAGGATATCATATAATTATTATTTTCAAACCTAGAGATAAGATCAATCACTTATATATAAGGGAATCAAATATCATTTTAACCCTAATTTTACACTTATCCTAGACGTTTCTCTAACTTGTGCATTGAAGTGTCTTTACAGGTGTCCCTCCTTACCATTAACAAATGGAGTGTGGAAAATGTCAACTTTCTTAGAGCACCTAGAGATTCTGGTAAGAACACTAATTCTTTTGATCATAAGTATGACTAATATAATTGATAAAACTCTCACTTTTTATATTATATATATTATATATATATATATACTTCAACAAGCAAAATTCATTTAATTTGTCTCTTAAAATATAGTCATTTTTTCTTCTTAAAATACAAAATCTTTAGAAACATGTATTAAGTATCTCATTAATTTAGGTGGAGTTTTTAAGAGAAATAAAAATTTATAACATAATAAACTTGACCAATAAAACTAACTTTTCTTATTCTCGATGAATTATCCCTATCATCTATTTTCTTTTCTATTTTTTATTTTTTTATATAGTGTAAGCATACATGTGGGTATTATAAATTGTATGAAGAATATTTCTTTTCTGAAAACATTAAAAGAATTATATTAATCACCCATTTATTATTATTTTTTTTACCTATTTAGTAATTTTAAATATTATGAATTTCCCATTTAGTTTTACTAGAGTAGAGGCACAAAGTGCCTCTAATAATTATTCACTAATAAAATATTATAAAGTTGTGTATAATTATTTTAAAAAGAAATTAAGATTTTTTTTATATCTGAGGGTATAGTGGTCAATTAAAAAATGGAGACCAAAAAACGGTTACATCTCCTATATCCCCTTTATAATAGTTATAGATTATAGATATTCTTAAGACATGTAAACCTAAAATTATAAAAATAAAAGACTAAAAAAACATAATGTTAACCAAAGTCAAATTCATATTTAAACCATAAGAGCATCTGTAATGAGATTTGCTTATAAGCAACTCCCTGTGCCACATCACTGCCAAATCAGCTCTGGCTTACTTTATGGGTTGCTTAAGTTTTAGCAGAGTTGCTTGTAGAAGTAACTCTGCTAAAATTTAAACAACCCATAAAGTGGGCCAGAGCTGATTTGGCAGTGATGTAGCACAGGGATTGCTTATAAGCAACCCCATTAGAGATGCTCTAATGTAAACAAAAGTTATGTGCATGTGTAATTCAAAATTCAAGTAATCACAAACGCCAAAAAAGGACATTCTGATTTCTATTTCAAATTCACTAAATAAATGAGAAATGTTATTTGTACAACTTTGTGGAACTAAGAGAAAGAGGGGGGAAAAATTGATACATAATAAATGATTTGATCTAAAGAGATTAACGAAATTCAAACCTAAAACTTTCTACATACCATCCTCAAAAGAGAATCTAACAATCTTTATAGTAAATAGCATGCTTAGAGAATCTAACAATCTACGGAGTAAATGAATAGTATGTTTTTCAAAGAAAGTCAAGTTTTCAAGTCACCTTGTTTTTTACCCTCCCCGGATTCAGCAGTGTCAGGTTATTCGATCATATCAGAAGTAAATCTTTTCATCTTAATTTAATTCTCTTATAAATCTTTACCAAATGAAAGGAACATTTTTATTTCAAACAACTTTGATCGCTGAGACGCTTTAATACAAAAAACAACTCATGAAATGGAATACTATACACATATTTATAAAATACAATTAAACATATAGAGCAAACTCTAACAACAGAGGTTTTAGCCATATTTGACAATCATCTACAACCTTTCAACAAATACGAAGAAGGGCTTGAAAAGCTCACAGATGAGGATTTGTTGTTATCACCCTTTCCTGGTGTTCCACATTCACTAAAGTCCAGTGTGCGTCGCTCTATCTGCAAACATAAAAAATAAATAAAAAATTCCATTCTGTCATAAAAAAACCTCAGGAGAAAATTGAGTCATTTAGTTTAAGAAAACATACTATTTTCATTTTCTTTACTCACTTTTAATAATCAAAAATGACACTTTCCCTTTGTTCCTATTTTCAAAGGTTTGTATGAAAAACAGTAAAAAATAATAAATGAAAACAGAAAGCAATAAAAGTTGTTTTCACCGATTTCTAAAATACTTTTGAAAACAAGAAATTAGTTTACAAATATGGTGGATTTTTTGTAATTAAAAGTTAAAAAAGAATAAAAACAGAACACTTTAGCCAAACTACTCCTAAAATTATCTGGAATCATCAATGTAGTTCAGGAGAGACACCAAACAACTTAAATCCAATTTTACCAAAGCATTTGAAGCCAACTGAGAATGGTTGCCAGGCTGACTGGGAGGATTATTTTCCTGGTCCCTAGCCTCGTCATTTCCTGATGGATCTTTCGGTAATGCCTTAGGAGTTTCATTTACCAAAATCTCCTGAGCATTGGCATATGTGGCAGCAGTTTGTTCACTGATCTGTTTCAACAACCCAATTGCATCATAGCTTCTATCACCCGGGCTCCTCATTAAATACTGAAAATCCTGTAAATATGTTCACTGGTTTTAGAACAGTGAGAAACTAAATCTAAGACCAAGATAGTTATCCTAACCCTACAAAACCTACTGTACCTCAATTGTAATATCAGTATCAAGTCTGGGACTAGATAGAAAAGGGTTGAAGAACCAAGGAGATTTCCATGCAGAAGGTGATTCAATGCCTTTCCTAAAAGGTGTTCCACCAAATCTACCACCATCAAATAAGCAGAGTCAATTGCAGTGTGAGATAATAACTTGTGAAAATGCAAAATATATTCCACGAGTATTATAATGGAAAAATAAAACAAAAAATCAGGTGTGGCACAAAGAAGCAATTTCCAAGGAAGCAGCTTAAACAATTAGCCTTATAACCATTGGATTATCTTCCATAAAACAAATTTCTTTATGAGACTGCAATTAAGTTGGGGTTGTATAATAAGGATTGTCCAAGCTGTTTTGCTTAAGCCATATTTTGAGCCGATGTGGAACTAAATCACCATCCTTGAGGCTGCATATTAAGGCAGCCCAAAAAGTGGCTGCAACTAAGGTAGGCTTTGGGTGACAACAATTAAGGCAGCTTCAAACACTTGTGCCCAAATTATATAAGCTCTACTTAAAACATGTCTCTAGTAGATGTAAGACTAAACCACACCCTTGAGACTGCAATTAAGAGAGCCTAAAAAAGGCCACAACTGAGATGGGATAGACTCTAATACTATATGTCTATATTAGAGGCTTTGAAACTAACTCAACTCTACAAAATCGACTAATAAGGTGATGGACTTCCCAAACTTTATAGGCTCTACTTAAGTCATATCTCTAGACTGTGTGGAACTGAACCACCACCCTTGATACGACAATTAAAGCAATAAAGAGGCCACAACTATGGTGAGAGAGAGGGAGGACCCCAATTAAGACAGTTTTCAATAATTATATATATATATATATATATATATATATATGAAATAATGCATATTACCTATGGTTGCCATACCAAAGTAATTCAGCACAATCAACTACATGCATAAAAAATAAAAGAAACAATGAAAATAATAACAAATATAAAGAACTTTACATGCTACATGTTTCAAAACCACCATCCATTCTGGTTTGTTCCCCTGAATTGTCACCTAGAGCTTGTACACGAGTAACAGCAACTGAAAGTTTTTCATGCTCCTTTGCACGAACACAGGAAGAATTCGATTTAACCCTTGAGCATGGATTTTCAGAAGATAATTTCAAATGGCCACTCTGATTTGGAGCTGCTTCCATGGACCTGTTCAAGCTTTTGGGAGTTTTTGCACTTGACCCTGAACCTCTGTCTGATTTTAAACCAACTTGATCAGGAGAAGACAGCGACAGGTCATTCACATCATGTTCAACCAAAACTCCAGAAGGTTGTTGCTCCTGATAAATAGAATAAAGTGAAAAGTAATTTATCAAAGAAAAGCGTAAATATTTAAGAATTCCATGTAATAATTAATTACATCTACCAAAGGTTAAGAACAGTACTTAGTACTTACAATCTCGGTAGATGTGGCATCAACCTTCATTTTAGAATCAAGAGAGTGTTGCTTTACATTATGCTGAGAATTACTGTTGACAGTATCTTTTTGAGAGCTCTTTTCATCCAAAATTGCAGATTGATGCTCAACTTGTTCTCCTTTATAAGCCTGTCCACAATTTTCTTTATTATCATCATCAACAGGTGCACTGGAGTTCTGTTTTTGCAATGAAGATGAAGATGAAGGCATATCCACTTCCTGAGTCTCATTGTCACCAAACATGACATCCAAACTGGGAAGATTTTTGGTAAAGGTAGATGCCATGTCAGTCCCAAGTTTCTTATCAATTCTTTTATCCGAGAGTGGTGACAACAAATCTCGGTGTCGTTTCTTTAATATGGATGGTGTGCCTGTAAAAGTTTTAGCTGCACTTTTTAACAATGCATCTGGACTATCATCACGAGAGGGTGAGTCCCACAACCTGAAAGGAGTGAGACAGTTCATAGAAGGTATCATAAACTGGCGTAGACCCAAAGGACTAAACTCTTGCTGCAGATCACTCCCAGATTGCACAAGATCACAGCTGAAGAAAGGAATATCCAAGCTTGGAAAACGGGGGGGTTCATAACATAGAGATCCTGGGTCCTCCTTTTCGGTATGGACATTTGTTTTCTCATCTGTTGGATTACAAATTTGCTTGGCATTTGATACACAGCCAGAAGTATTTACAGGGACCAATTCTGAGGTACCCTTCAGAATATCATGTGGCTCTTTCATTACTTCACTACCTATACCATCAGCACAAGGAGAACCAGATAATTCACTGAAATAAGTTGAGTTAGCAGGTGCTCTGGAGACAAATTGGTAATCCTCAGTCCCAAAAAATTGATTGCCATTGGCAGTAGTCACCAGCCTATCGTCACTATCAGAGAGTACCATGGGTACAGATTGGGACGATGAAGCTCCTCTATAATTATTAGAACACTGAGGACAAGTTGGATGTGGAGTTGAGGTTCCACCCATTTCAGATATCTGGATATTACATGATTGACAAAGAAATGAAGTGCATCCAGAAAATCCAACCATATCTTCACCTTTATTGTAATCTACATGGGAAAAACATCCATCATCCGTTGCATCTGAAAACAGGACTCTGCAACATTCTTCATCAGATATCAACATGTGCTCTGGTTTAAGAGAATCCATAGATGCAGGTCCGGATGCTGAAACACCTAACTCCACTGATGTCTGAAATGGAACACTCACCATGTCACAGATTTCAATAGGAGCTATACAATCACTTTGCAACTGTGATGAAATATTGGGTATGGAATGTATATTGAACTGACAATCCCCACTAATGGAATTTCCAGGTTCATGTAACTGTTGATCAATGAATTGAGAATTGCAAGCATCTTGGTGAGCAATATCTGGGATGCATATAGTAACATCATCTATTGATACGTAATATGGCTCCTCTGAACAAGATGCTCGACTCAGATTATGATCCTTTCCAAGACTACATTCTTCATCTGGCCTATATGCCTCTCCAGTTTGCGAGTCAGCACTGCTCGTCCCTCTAGCAGATGGAAAGCAAGCAGCATTAGCTGAACCTTGGCTGCACTGAGAAACTTCCTCAACTTCAGTCCCCTTGGGACCATTATCATCACTACACTGCAACCTTGTTGGTTGATTTGAATTTCCAACATGAGGTACAGACTCAATTTGACTAAGCAAACCTGATGCCAAATAAGAATCCAATTTCTTTTTCACAGAACTGTTCCAGTGGTTTTTAATAGCATTGTCTGTCCTGTTTCCACAAAAGCACAAGTCACCACTTTAGAAGCTTGTTGACAAAAGATTGAAAACGAACTAAAATGAAAGAGTAAAAAATGAAAAAGTTTAATTAAAATTGGCTTAAATATTTTTCTAGTCCTTGTTTGATTTTAATCCCTGTAAAAAAAAAAAATTTGTTTTTCATCCCTTGTAATTTGGAATCCTTGTTTTTGGTTCTTGTAAAATGAGCAAACTTTGGTTTCAGCTTTTGTAAAATATTTTTCTTTCATTCTCATCCCTCTAAAATGTAAAGTCGCTAATTTTAGTGCCTAATGATCATTTGAAGGTAGATAACCATATAATATTTTCCAAGTGTCACACATTGACTTGGTCTCACAAACAATTGTTGGTACCACTTAAGATTGTCACTTAACCTTCTAATAAACAAATAAGTAATCAAAATTTATTCATTTTACAGGGATAAAAAGTATTTTTAAGCCATTAAAATTTTATTGTCACTCTCATACCAGAACCAGCAATACTATGGAATTATATAAGATAGAGCTATGACTCCACATGTAACTGCTTGAAACCACGCACACCCTTAATAGAATTTTTGTTTTTTAAATGTAGATACCTTCCAGGAATGAACTTTGACAATTCTGCCCATTTGTTCCCATACATCCGATGAAAATGTATTAGAGCCAACTCCTCTTCCTGGGTCCATGCTTCTTTTTTGATAGTAGGATCAAGATGATTACACCACCTAACAAGTTTTTACATATTATATGAATAAAAATGAACATCGACAACAACAAAAACATTATCCCAATAGATGAGGTAGGCTGCAAGATCACTACATCATTTGACACAGTTAAAGACCAACGAAAATGAAGACAGATACTCCAATATGTATTATGAATGAGACTTGATGAGAATTATTGGCATAGGGTTAGGTTAGGGTAAAAAGAAAAGAGAGAAGATGGCTCAAGTTGATAAACTGCAGATATTATTGATAGATATAATGCAATACACAAAACCAAAGCACTAAGCATGTTATATCAATACTAGACTCTTGATCAAATATGGAAACAAACTATGAAATATCATTTATGAAAAATATTCCTTTGTATAAAATACAATATGATTTATGGATGAAAATGAACATCAACAATAATAAAAGTATTATCCAACTAGGTGAGGTAAGCTACATGACACACATCATTTGGCTCGGTTAAAGACCAAATTTTCAAAGAGATCTATCTTAGCAACTCCGAAAGCCCTTGGATAACTCTCAACCTTTGTGGTCAAACCCTCAACAGGTAGCCTATTCTGGCCTAGGGGAGGCCACAATTAAGGTGGCTTTCCAACACCCCTGCTCACGCCCAAGGCATTAGGCTTTGAGCGTGGAAAACTAGTCATGTAGATAGCCCAACAATGAATCTAAGATAGACTCTAATACCATTTTAAAATTTGGACTTGAGGCATAGTTCAACCTCACAAAACCAACTTGTAAAGTGAAAACTATTCAAGCTTTATAAGTTTTATTTAAGTCATCTCTAGTCAATGTGGGAATAAACCGCTGAAGAGTCACATCTAGCCAATGTGGAAAATTGGTAATGGTGGCCCAACAATGGATCCAAGATAGGCTCTAACATCATTTTAAAATTTTAGCTAAAGGCCTAACTCAACTTCTACAAAACCAACTTGTAAGGTGAGGATTGTTCATCTAACCAATATCTCTAGTCAATGTGGAGCTAAACCACTTAAGAGTCATATTTTGGTGGCTGCACTTTATAATGCTTAACTCAGCCTTTATGGTCAACCCCACTGTAGGTAGCTCTTTCCAGCCTAGGGGATCCTGCCATTAAGGCAGTTTTCTAACACTTCTTATAAGAAAGTCCTTAGTCTAACTTCTTGGAGTTCTCAGACAAATAGTTATCCTATCATACACGTCTTATATAATCGAATGTAACCAACTTGGGCTGACGTGAGTGGTGGGAGACTCACATCACTTAACCAAGTGGCTAGGGATCGAATCTTGACTCTTGCAAATGTAAAAACTCAAGCTGGGAGGGAATGTCTACCTATTTGGTATCTGTCAATCCTCCCAAGGAGATTGTCTCTATATTCAACAAAGAACACTCTATGATAATGAACCAAAAAAAAATATAGTTTGAATCTAAGCCATGACCACACGAGCACCTCTTTTTTGAAGTTTTCCAAAAACACTTCTCTTGGCACTTGATCATAAGCTTTTTCCTAGTTATTGAAAACTATGGGAGCCTTCGTTTCAAGTTATCAACTTTTATCCCAAGGAATGACATTCTTACGTATTTTTAAAAAGTGGGGAAAGATTTGAGAGAAGTTAAAAGGATTAAAATAAAAATTTTAATTTCCATATCATGAGAATCAGCTTACTCACCTCCTTTCTCGGAAATAAAAACAAATATAGAAGTAATTATTTTCCTAGGAATGTTCTTTGTCCAAAAATAAAAACATTTTGTATCCATATATTCTCGGAAATATGCTAAGATAAACAAACACACTCTATATGTAAGTCATTAGTCCTTAATCCTATAAGAAAGTCTTTAGTCTAACTTGTTCTCACACAAGGAGTTACCCTATCATTTATGTCTTATATAGCCCAAATGTAAGTCACAGATACACCTTTGTATCAAAGTTTTCCACAATACTTCATTTGGTACTTGACCATTAGTTTTTTCTATGTCAATAAAGGTCATAAAGTCTTTGGCTTTGCCTTAGTACCTTTCCATAAATATTGTAAAAAAATAAATGGCTTCTATTGTACACCTCAACATAAAACTAAATTGATTCTTTACTATCTTCGTCTCTTCCCTTAATATATGTATCTTTTTCCATAATTTTGCAGTATGACTCATAGGCTTTATGCTTCTATAATTAACACAATTCTAAATATCTCCCTTGTTCTTAAATAAAGGAATCAAAGTGCTTTTCCTCCACTCATGTGGCATTTTCTTACATTTCAAAATCTCATTAAATAGCTAAGTGAGCCAAATGAGACCTTAATCTCCTACACACTTCCAAACCTTCATAGTAATACCATTTAGACCAATTATTTTACCATTATTCATCCTCTTAAGAGCCTCTTTAACCTCTTCATTTTTGAACTCTACAGTAGTAAGCCAACTTTGTGTTCATCCGCCTACATTTTTAGTCCTTTCATATGACAAGTCGATCCTTGTCCATAATTGAAAAACTTATAAAAAGTAATCCTCACATCTCTTGTCTTAATCTGTGACAAAGACTTTCCTTTCATCATCCTTAGTATATCTAATCTAATTTGATCCAAATCTTCCCTTTTTCTTTCTCTATTTTTGGAAAACTTATATATCTCTCGTCCTCTAATCTGTCCCAAAATTTTTGTAAAACTCTTCAAAAGCTTTAGATTGTTCACTCATAGTTTTTCTCCTTTCTAACATCTTGATACCTATCTCACACCACTATTCAGGATTGAACACTGGATATTCTAACAAGGCTGGCTTTAATAAAATAATCTAAAGAGAGAAAAAAAAAATCATATGTGAACAAAGATACTCGAATACCTGAAAGAATTAGTAGAAATCCAATAAAATAACCATACCTTTCTCGGCATTGCTTACCAATACGTCCAGGTAAATGTTGTGCTATAGCTGACCACTTTTTCGGTCCATTTTGCTTCACCAATTCAATAATTATTTCATCTTCCTGTTTATATTTGGATTAAACAAGCATGTTAATAGCAGATAAGTAACTAGAAAGTTGATATAGTCCAAGGTCACATCAAAAGAACAAGGAAAGCAGTGATTGAACTCTAGACTATATGATCGCATAGGCTCCTATACAATGTTGATAATTACCCGTTTAGGGTTAAGAAAGAAGGAAAAGGGATAAAGAATAGCTTCAATATGTAGCAATAAAATTAGCACAAAAAGAAATTGAAAGCAGAGATTACCTCTTTAGACCATGGACCTTTAACAAGTTCAGGATTTAAAACTTTCTGCCACCTATGTAGGCATTGCACATCAGTTCTGTCCTTGAAACATTCCGCTTCAAACACATATTTGGCAATTAGATAAGCAAACACGATATTGCGAAAAAAAGTTGGATGAGCAAAAATGCTTAAGATGGTTCCCAAGCACAATGAACCCACATAGGGGACAAGCTAAATAAATGACACACACACAAAGTAGAATTATAAAGTTTAGGAGTAGGAGGGGGTTGGTTGAAATTACAAACTTACCAAGGAAAATTGAGTGAATCCATCCCCAAACAATACACAGATTTTCATTTCATTTAAAACAACTCAACAATGTCTAATTGGCAAAAGCTCGTTTCAGGTATATAAATCAAGTAACAGAGACATGCAAAGTGATTTAAGTACATACGGGATATGCTAGTGGCAGCAGGCTATGAATAATTTCATAAATTTGAATAAGTACAAATTGATATCAATATACTACCAATTTTTTTCCAATTTTTTCCTTTAAATCTCTGAACAGCCTTCCGTAAGATATCATCCTGTAGGACAACAAAATAACATGACTTTATTATGTATTACACTTTTTATTATACGCATAGTTATCATTATAATTTATTATAATCTTCAAAATTTAAAGGAAACATTGCCAAGCTATAGAGGGATAAACTAAGTTACATTACATATATTCTAACACAAATAAAACATTGTCAACAAACTTGAGAAAATTTAATTATATTAATTCTCCAAAAGATTACCTCCTCCGGTGTCCATTGCCCTTTTGTAGAACGCCTTGTAGGGCCAGTAGTCCTCCTACAAATACATATTATACGGTTAGTAAAAGCAAAAACCTAGTGCATTTACCAAGTACAACCCTCACCTGTTTATAATTGAACAATATTGATTCAATAAAAAGGACTGTAATTTTGGAAGTATTTCAATCCTCACCTGTAAATAATTCAGTAATTTTTTACTCTAGAAAATAACATTTTGATAAACCTTATCCACAAAAGATCCCTTTAGAAGGAATATAAGTCACTGAAGGTAAACATGTCAACAGTTAAAAGGTTGACAACACCAGTCACTGACAAACACTTTCTCATACCTATAGCTATAAAGACACAAAACGAGCATCAATAATAACCTCTCATTCTAATCTTTATTGCCAAGGGAATAATTGGATGGGAAATTTTTTTTTCTTCTTCTGATTGAGAGATTCCTAAAACATTTACAAAAATAAATAAGATTGTTGAAAGGCTACATTACAGTCTCTCAACTAAAGCATTCTCAAATCAAGCAAATAGTTATTCAGAATAGAAGTTTTATCCCCCCTCCAAACTCCTCCATCGAGACAAACTCTACTAGTTTGTGTTGTGCATAAGCTCAAAAGAAAAAAAAAATGTATTATAATATATATAGTGTATGATTATAAGACAGATTTTCAGAATTACCCATGTAATGCTCTGACTTTCTGGGAACCATCAGCGTACTCATGAGATGGAGCAGGCATGCTCTGCTCACTGTCCATAATTTGTTGTACAGAGAAAAACGCATACCCCAATTCTTAATTCACTGCAAATCTTTTCACAGATGATTCTCATAATCATTCTAATCCCTTCCAAGAAGGGCATGAACAAACTTCCTGCACAAAACTAACTGAAAAGATAATTCAAAACCAACAATTAATTAAAGAAATTTAAAAATAAAAAAAAATAAAAAAAAGTTTAGCTGTCCTAATAATTGAGAAATTGTAACTTACGTCAATAAGTACAGTTTTTAGAGTTTGAAGAAAAGAAATCTGAAGTATGAAAACATCACAATAGTCAAGAAAACCCAAAATCATAAGTTTCACGCAACAGAAAAATTGACAAGGTGAAAACAAATCAACTTCACACCAAATTTCAAGTGTCGTACCTCTCCATCACCCCCAGTCACCACTCTCTCTTCACAATGCTCCTTTCTCATCTCCCTCTCCCTTATTTTTCCTTTTAAATTTCGACGATCCATAATTCTCCTCAACTCTCATTTCATTTTCCTCACAGTCACCACTCTCTTTCTCTTCACTTTGCTCCTTTCCCATCTCTCTCTTTTCTTTTTCTTTATTTTTCCTTATAATTTTCCACGATCCATAACTCCCCGTAAACTCTCATTTCATTCTCCTCACCATGCCCAACAACGAAAACCCTCAGATTCAACAACGAAATCACCAAACAATACCCACAAAGAGCAACAAATAAATAAAATACATTCAAATCAAAGTCATCAGAAACAGAGAAACCGAAGCATACAGTGAAGACTCACAAAGCAAAGTAGCAGATCCGGGAACAGAGTTTGGTGAAGAATGATGTGCAAAGTGAACCGTTGCAACGATCGATCGGAAATGGAAGGTTCGAGAAAGAGAGAAATGGAACGTTAAGAGTGCTTTGGTCGTATTCTATCTAATAATGTAATATATTCAAACATGAAGGGGCGGACTCAAGAAGTTTCAAACCCTATGCCTTGACATATCTTGCTTCGGTTCAGTTCAGAATTATTGTGACATTTGTCGACATACAAAACCTTCATTTTCAAATATGTTTTAATTCGAAAACTTCCATTTTCGAATATGTTTTAATGTAAACAGATTTTTTTTAGGATGGTTTCTTAATTTACTCAAACTATTTATTTATTCCATAGAAAGAATTTAAAATGGGTTTTATGTGTTTTTATTATTTTTATATTTAGTTTTATTTCAAGATGCTAATTCATTTTTTACTTTAATGTTGAAAAATAAATAAGAAAATATGTATTTTTTAATATGTTTTTTAAAATTTTGCCTCACAAGAAAAAAATTAAAATATAGGGAATTTATTTAATAATTTTCAGTTAATCTTAACATTATATGACTCCCTGCTAATTTTACTTATATTTACATTAGAATGAATTACTCGTACCATGCACAAGATTAAGTAAGGGATTAAATTATTTATTAAATTTAAAATTAATTCAATTATAATTAATATTTAAATTAATTAAAATAGTTGAATTACGTGAAAAAATAACTTGGTTGGATAGGTAAAATAATTAATAAATCAATAAATTATTATAAAAGTAACAAGACAATAAAAAAATATAATTATATTAAAATTAGATTAAAATAATTTCTAATTTATTTTTTTATTCTCTAGATTCCCTTCAACTACAAATTAATCCTAGAAATTATATTTTGACAACTAATTTAATCCTCAATTATCTTGTGTTAATAACTTTTACGATGAGTAATAGTGGCTCATTAAATATCAACATGACACGGCTTCTCTCCCTTTATGTATAGGGTGATAAAATGCTACTAGTTAAAAAAGGTAGTGTTCCTGTTCAAGAACACTTCTTTACTGATCTTCTTCTTGATGCCTCGTCTTTTTCAAAACTGAGGTAATAATCACCTGAATTCTTTCTGCAAGTGGGGGAGGGTACTTGTAAAGACACTCTAATGTTCAAGTGAGTATTCAATTCAGAACAATAAATATTATAATATTAAATGATTATACTTATCTTTCTTGTTTCATCACTATTGTATTTATAGTGACATATTTGGATTTAGTGGACTTTCTAGGTTAAAAGATTCGTAATCTAAGTTTTATGCCCTAATTTGGGCCGATGTAGATTCTTATCATTTAATCATAATTAAGACAGGGTAGTCTTAATAATAGAGGGCACGGCCTTTTCCAAGGCTGACTAGCCTCTTAGATCATGTTTTGGCTGAAGGGGTACTTAGCTTGGGTGGTGACTAAGGGGTGTTTAACTCGTACCACGAGTTACATAATTGAGCTACTCGAATCATGCTATGGCCAAAGGGTATTCTAAGCTCTTCGCGACTTCAAGGTGTTTGGTCAGGTAGAGGTGTACGACCCATGTATTGACCGACAGGTCATCTCGACTTCCCCAATATAGGTAGTTTACTTATTCTCAAAATTGTCCTATGAGGCAAAAGAATTACATTTAGATACCTGTTGATTTTAAAGTTGATGCAAGAATGTAAGATAATTTTTTTGTCTTTATAATTGTAATTTTTTAATTTTTATTGTTAATTTTTTTAATATTATGTTTTGTGTATTTTAATGTGATATAGGTCTTTAAAAAAATGGTGTCTTAATAATATGTGTTATGTACAGAAGGGACATTAAGTATTGAAAATTCTAATTTAGAGTAACTTTAGTAAAATAAATTTGACATCAAACATACAAAGTTGAATTAATACATTTGTTATGTCAAAATGAAAGGGACAAGGTTCAAAAAAGTTAACGACGCAACTTAAAGGGTTAAAAAATTACAAATATAAGGACTAAAAATATTTATCTTAAATTATAAATAATAAAAAGAATTGAAAAAATAATATAAAAACTAAAAATGTCTTTTTCAAACTATAAGAAATAAACAATAAAGTAAACAAAATTATAAAGACTAACATATAAAAGACACTTTGAACGTGTTTGGATGGAAAATTTAAATAAAATAATTTATTTATTTGGAAAATTTGAAATGCCTTGAGATGAAATGTTTTGTTTGGATGAAAAATTTACAAAGAATTTCAAATTTAAGCATTAGTAAAATTCCTTAAAATAGTAGAATTTTAAATTCTCTCAAAAAAGTAAAAATTTCAAATTGTTCATATTTTTTTAGATCAGCTATATATATTTTATCTCTCTCCTGTCTCTTAATTATTGAATATTCTCGGAGTAAGTCTACTTAGACTTACTTCATTCAATAACTTATGTTCTACATCAAATTTTAATGATCCAACCGTTGAATTTAAAGTTCTTAAACTAGAATTAGTAGAAGAAGGGCCATATATACCAAAGAAGACTTTAGATACAAGGTTTATTATAGCAAAGCCAAAACAAGAATGTAATGTTGATGAAAAATTCGGATGCTTAGTTAATGCAAAGGCCAAGTTTTATCTCACTTGTGCCCTTTGTAGATCTAAGTATGACAAAGTGAGAGAATGTGCCACAATAAAGGAAATATGAGAGAAACTCAAAATAAGACATGAAGGAACAACTCAAGTAAAAGATTCCAAAGTGAATATTTTTACTCATTAATTTAAAATGTTTAAATGCAGGAAGAATAATCTATAGACAACATGTATAACAAGTTCATTATTAAAATGAACGAATTGAGTGACTTGGGAGAGAAATGCTCAACACCTCAAAAGATAAAGAAGATCTTGAAGAGTTTACAAAAAATCTAGAGACTAAAGATCACAACCATCCAAGAAGAAAAAGACTTGAAGATGCTTCAGTTGGATGTGCTAATTGGATCACTTAAAGTATATGAATAGGAACTACAAGAAGTACTCTAGCCTAAAGGCAAAATTATAACTCTAAAGGCTAGCCAGAAATCTAAGGCACTAGAGAACTCAAAAGATCATGAGTTAGCTCTTCTAACCATAAAAGTTTAAAGACTACCCAAGAGGAGAAAAAGAATGAGAAAAATCTCATTTAGAAAAAAATCTTCTATTGGAGAAATCTTCAAAAGCCAAATCAAGTTCTATGAATGCAACAAGTTGGGACATTACAAGTTAGGATGTCCAAAATTCAAGAAAGATGAGAAGAAAAGAAAGAAAAAAGGCCATGATGGTCACTTGATATGACTTAGAAGAATCATCTTCTGATGGAGAAGAAGAACAAACAACAAATCTATGTTTGATGGCAGATTCAGATGAAGAACAGGTATATGAATGTGAACGTGAACTATTTGAAAATGATAAAGAATTGTTATTTACTTTTGACAATCTTTTAAAAGATTCAAACTTGTTAGCTCAGAAATGTGCCTTTCTAAGAGGGGAACTCTTAATTGCTCAGAAGGAAAATGAGAAAGTTTACTTAGACAATGAAATTTTGAACAAAAAGAACATATGTCTAAGAGATACTCACTTTAGTATGTTTGAATAATTAAAGAAACTCATCAAAGAAATGAAAGTTTTAGAAAATGAAAGTAGATTTCTCAAAAACAAAGTTGAAAATTTAACTAAAGATCTCTGAAACTTTGTAAATGGAAAAAAAACTTAGATAAATTGATTAGTGATCAAAGAGGTTTCCAAGATAGAGGATGTTTAGGTTTTAATGAAGATAATCTAAAGAAGGTTATATACAATCAACTTGAATTTAGAAAAGTAAAAAAAAAAAGTGTTACAACTATGAAAAATAAGGTCATGGTACCTCATAATGTACTGGAAAAGGAACACGGTCAAAAGGAAGGTTACTAACATAAGAGGACCCAACAAAGTATGGGTACATAAATCTCTTTTAATTTCTGATGTAGGAATGTCTTATGCATACAAATAAGAAATGGCAATGGTTACTTGGACAGTTGATGTTCAAGGAATATGATAGGAGATAAGAGTAAATTCTTGACCCTTGAAAGAAAGGTAGTTGAAGGATATGTCACATTTGGAGATAATAGAAAAATAATAATAATAAAAAGAATTGGAAAAATACATAACATGAAATTTGCCCAAATAGATAATATATATTATGTGAAAGGGTTAATACATAATCTTTTAGGCATTAGCTAGCTATGTCATAGTAGCTATGAAGTTATATTTGGACCTAATGCATTTCAAATTAAAGAAAAAGCTTTAGAGAAGTTCTTTTCTATAGAAATAGAGAAAATAATCTATATAGCGTGTATTTAGAAGATATCCCTATTCATTCATCGCAACAATGATAAGTGGTTATGGCATAAAATAGTAGGACATATAAATATGAAAACTTTTCAATCTTACTACCCAACATACAATCCCACACTCAAAGTGATGTTTCTCACTCCCCCTTACCTCTATCAGCAAAAAGCAAAGAACGTGGGTCTTCGAGATGGTTTCTTCCTCCCTCATCTCCTTCTAGTTCTTTAGAGTGTAAAAGAAAAATGAGGGTGTATTAAAAAAAATTGATGCATCTCTCCTTTTAATATTAAACCTAACTTAACCTCCCTCTAACCCATCTACGATTACTCAATCTTAATTCTAATTATGTATCTTTTCCCCTTAATTAATAATAATAATGAATAATAATAAAATACTAATAAAGTATTATAGTACAATACAATCCTCCTATGATTTAATCAAAGCAAATATATAAAATATTATTTTAATCTTAAAATGCTTTATAATATTAACCTTTTATATTTTATAATAAAACATATTATTAATCTAATTGCAAAAACGTAGGTTGTTACAACTCTTTTTTCTTCTTCTTTTTTTTTTATTATAATTTCATCCTCAAAATTAGCTAAAGCGAATAAAAATGAATACGACTCTCATCTGGCTCTCTAGTTCCCATGTAACATTTTCCTCAACATTTCCTCCCAAACAACCTTAACCAAAGGAATTTCCTTATTACTCAACTGTTTCACTCTCTTGTCATCAATCCTCAAAGGAACTGTTTCATAAGTGAGATTATCCTTCAATTGAATTTTGTCGGATTCAAGTACATGAGAAAGATCATGAACATATTTTTTGAGTTGGGAAACATGAAATACACTATGTATATTTGAAAGAAATGGG